ATAATCTTCGCAAAGTAAGCATGGAAATCTACTTACTATTTATATCCGCGAATCTGATTCGTCGCTGATAACGGAAAGAACACAATTAACAATTACAAACGAACGAATAGGTATTGATCAGGCACATCTTGAATAGGTTCGTCTTGAATTATGATAACATTTAGCTATCATTGATCTCAGGTTCTAGATTCATTGTAATGTTTGCTACTCACATAAAATCTGGTGGACTTAACATGTATTTTTGACTCTCGGTTTGCGGCTGTCTGTGTGCATCTCAAGCAGTTATCATTTCTTTTCATAGAGAACAATGAATGAAAACTTTATTTGGCCTTTTATTGAAAACTGAAAGTGTATAACTTGAGCAGGGTTAACAAAGAATCCTGATTTTCAGAAAGATGAAAGCGAATACGCCTAAATGAATTTACAGTGAAATCGAAACAAACAAATTAAACTACATGCAAAACTGACCTGTCGATCGATAATGTCATGAAGTATAAAATAATCTGATGAGAATGTTTTTAGCATCCGTGCCTGCGGAGTCATACCCTCGAACCAATAACACTGACAACTCATCAAACTCACACACACACATTGCCATTAACTTTCCCTCAACTTTCGCCATGTCTCTCTGCACAATACAGTCTATTTGTCTATATTCCCTTCGACCCTCAATTTGACTCTTTTAGCATTAGCTGCCTTGTTGAAAGACTGATACTTGACTTCTTATCGAATTTGCTGTCTGGCTGGACGTTTGAATAGTAGTCTTGAAGACACTGACCAAACAGTTATAATCCGCATCTGTGCTCTCGCTGACGCTCATTTCAAGGTTCATTAATTGCAACTTTTCCGTGAAAAGATTGACTTTTGACAATGATACGCCGCATTCAATAGATCAATCTTCGAATGATAATCGATAAAAATTAGCCTATTTCAACTTTACAGATTCAAGTTATAAGGTTACTTTTCGTAGACAACTTGATCGGCTGAAACAACTAATTCTACTGTCTCAACTGGCGACGATTCATGCTTTTTGCTACATGAAGCACCGATATGGAGAGTGGCACTGGTTTAGCTGTATTCTGCGCACTCTAGAGGTGCAAATTCGAACTTCAAATTTTCCTCCTTCCGGGTCTCTGAGGCAGACGCACTGTGACTTCAGTGTTCCCGAACTTGAAGTTCCCAAGTTACAGGTTTAGCAGAAGATAACCAGAGCTGAGAGCACAGTCTATTGAAGCATTTTCTTCATGTCATTTTTGACCGCTTACCGGGTTTTCGGTCGATCGGTTGGGCAAGTAGCAGCTGTTTCGAACTGCTTTCTGAAGGCATTCGCAAGACGTGCTTAGTCCATCTCAACCGTGATTTCAGTCCGGGAAAGCAATGCTGTGCATCAAAACTCTCTCGGATATCTGCATTCCTGAATGAACTATGCCGAAACGCTTAAACCCAGTGATTCATCTCAAAGTCTGTTTCAACCGCTTGTACCAAGCACCGAAGGTTTCTGTCATGGCCCTCGACTCATAACCGTAGGTGAGCATCGGGACGAAGATCGACATCAACACAATCAGCTTAGCCTCCAGACTCAGCTCTGCTTTACTTACAACGGTAGTACAACTTACAAAAGATAACTCCACAATTATTGCCGTAGTCCAAATGGTATCAAAATTGAACAGGGGTACTAACGCTCATATTCTCTTGTTCGCCTAAAG